AACAGTCTTGAGACTGAAGTTCCGAATTCTGCAACTTGTTGCCGATCTGTTCCCTGAGAGTGAGATCGAAGAGCCTTCACTCCGAGTACTTGGAATGGGCTCTTTCAACATCGTCGTAGCTGTCACATTACAAGACCAGGCGCAAAGACGTGACTCCGGGGTCGGCTTTGGTGCTAGAGTGTCAAGGCTTCTTGGTATGCCTCCACGAACCCGTAAGTTCGCTTTGAGAATTCCAAGGGACAAGAATGGAGAAATGGATGGTCCTCCTGTGAGCGACGTTGCTGGCGACATTGTCACACAACGCGTTATCAGCTCCTGCCTAGGGCTACCCATACCCAAGATTGAAAAGTACGATCTTGGTCCGACGAATGCTTTGGGACGGCCATATACCCTACAGACCTTACTACCTGGTAAGAACTTACATAAATTGTGGCTAGAGCTAAGTCCACAACAGAAAGCGTCGGCCATCCAGCAGATTACGCAAACAGTAGAAAACATCGCAGCCGTCACGACGCCCGCGGCTGGGTTCGTCTCTCTGAGTAACTTGATCAACTCCAGGAGCTCAGCGATAGCATTAGATCAATTCCCCGTTCCGACAAACCAAGAAGCGAAGAAACGACCACACTTCGCTCAGCCCAGCCAGAGTCCAGCGCCACCTCAAACACCTTTTGGGTATCTGATAGATCATTGCCAGCGCTGGCAGAAATACGAAGAAGAGATTGGACGTGCTAGTCGAAACAAAAACCTGTGGCGAATCACGATCGCCGTTGCGAAAGCTCTAGATCGGCGCGGATGGCTGGGGCAGCGCTTCCATCTTACGCATGGCGACTTGTTTCCCCGCAATATACTCGCTAAGATCACAAGTCCAGGGACTGTGGAGATCACAGGTATCGTAGACTGGGATATGGCTTGCTTCGCACCCAAGTTTGTGGCCCTCCGGCCCCCGTTCTGGGCGTGGGTAGGTCACTCGATGGACGAGAGAGACGAAGACTTGGCAACATACGAGCCGCCTGAGGGAAAATTCAAGACCCTGAAGCAGGCTTTTAGGAGCGCAGCGTCAGAAGATTTCATCATATTCGGTCTTTCGCGCGAGAGTGCTATCGCGAGAAAGCTGTTTAGGGTCGTCAACAGTGGGTTGCTGGGCGATCGTCGCTATCTGGCGCTTCAGCTGGCAGAAGAGTGGAATGCCTTGTATCCAGAGGATAAGATTGGTGATCTTGAAGCAGAGTGGAATTGAGAAACATTCACTTCGTCGTGCATATAATTCCAAACAACCGTATAACTTTCTCACTTCCTACCTACACACGTGTAACATTCTATGCAAAGGCTAATGGGTGATCTCGAAGAACTTCGCAACTACCAGAAACACGTACCGGTTATTGGAGTTGAGATTTCTCATCTCAAGGTGATGTAGCAGTGATGACCCTTGGGAGCAATCAAGAAGTTGTTGTCCATCTCCATCATCTCATCGTTCATGGAGTCGGAGATTCTGGCGCCCCGACAATGTCGGAAGAAGAGGGCAGCTCCTAATCGGAGCTCCATATACGCCAGATGTATGCCGATACACACCCTCGAACCAGCTCCAAAGGGCATGTATGACGCCTTTTGATGTGCTGACATCGTGCTCTTGTCCAAAAAACGAAGACCGTCGAAATTGTGGGGATTGGGAAAGGCGGAAGGATCGCGATGGTTTGTGTAAGCCTGAGTGCTGACCACAGTATCGGCGGGGATGTGATGGCCGCCTACGACAGTGCCCTGTTTCGGTACAACCCGAGGTAAGGCGCCAGGAGCAGCGCCGTAAAGCCTCAACGTCTCTGTGATGACGCTGTTTAATAGAGGCGCAGTCTCGAGCTCCTCCTTCGTAAGCTCCTCGCTGAGTTCTCCAATCTCGCTCTCGAGTCGAGACTGCAGATCAGGCTGCTTGAGAACCGCCCAGACGAGATACGTGAGCGTCACCGCGGTAGTGTCCGATCCGGCCACAATGAAGCCGGCCGCTTCCTCCCTTATGTGTTTGTTCGAAAGCGCGGCAGTCTTACTGTCTTCCCCAGCAGCTATCATTTGATTGAAGAGATTCTTGGTATTGCCACCCTCACTGCGCATCTTCTGTATCGCCCGTTCGCCGTGTTCGTTCAGGACATCGTCGATCGAGTAGAGAAACTTCATCCGTTCGATAGGGAGGTAACTGAGAAGTTTCCAGATGGTAGTTCCAATTTCAGACCGAATGATACCGCAGATAAGCGCAGCCTGAATAGCATCGATGTATGGTGTTTGCTACCTCTGTTATTAGAAAATGCATACATAGCAAGACTGAAGAAGGCTGAGTTGCATACCTTACCCATCTCAAGCATTTCGGAGCTCTCTCCAAAGCTGAGGTGAGCGATTACATCATTCGCCATGAGCGTCCACCATTTGAGGACATCGGCTCCTTGCGATGAACCCATTGCGTCGTGTCGAATTCTCTGGGCAGCTAGGTTTGCTTTCGTCCTGATCTCTACGTCCCAGTTGCTGCTCAAGCTGGTGTTGCTGAAGGGTCGGGCAAACAGCCTTCTTCTTGCGGCGTGGGCATGTGGATCGCGCATCGGGAATATACCGGGTGTATCAGTTGGGAGGAGAGACGAGTAGAAGTCCGACTTCAGGTACCCAGCACCGATCTTGTGTATCTGACTGACACCGGCTATATCTGATACGGCTGTCTCGTTTGGCGATATTCGTACGACGCCGCCATAGCGCTGGTGAAGATTGTCCACGTAGAAAATTCGTTTGCCTGAAACCGTCTGGTAACGAAGGACGAGATTGGTATACTTGGTGTACCATGGCCCTGGCAGCTTTGACAGTGGACCTGTAAGTCCTTTCCAAACAATCTTTGCATTGTTAGCTTGACGTAAAGCAGCTTGTTATGACTCTTTTACCTTGATGATGTAGGCCAGTACCACCAAGAGAGCGGCTAAAACGCCCCGCTGAAGTGGCATGTTGATGAAGTTCGAGTGAGCTCGCAGTTCCCGCCGGTATTGATCTTGGTCGAGTAGAGAACTGGTTTTGTGATCCAACTTGCAATATGTTCTCTCAAATCTCTAGCTGCGTGGGCCCTTTACATATTGCCAGCACTTGCGGAATGTGGAGGCTAAAGCCGTGAACGGCCCTTCATTTTTCGCGGTGGTTGTTAGATTCAATGGTGACGCGCATCCTGGAGTGTACTTCGTGGGCCGCCTTGGAAGTAGCACAACTGGCAGACGCTCGCATCCGCACCATGAGAGACTTGATGCATTCGCTCAAAGCTGCCGGTCAAAAGCATGGATGATAGCGACCGAGCAGTGGGTCTGAACGCATTTGGGGACACACCATCAGACGCGACCAGTCAGGAGGCTTGGAGGGCATACGAGTACAAATACACGCAATTGGTCAGTCGAAGCCGATTGATGAGGGGGTATTGCATAGGAGTGGGCGGAGCGGTGTATTTGATTCTCCGCCTCCACTTACGAATGGGTCGGATGTGTTGTTGCCCCGAATGAGGCCTTGTGCACCCTAGAACGAGCCTCGTTTCGAGTCGGCCGAACTGCGCTGGGTAACGGTGTTACTCTAGAGATTGATCACGGGGCCTACGGACGCCACGGCCGCCGCCGTAGCTCGTAAGTCGCTCGTGCATTCCAGGATTAGCTCCCAGGCTAGACTTTATGAAGATTAGCGTGCGGGCCGCGAGCGGGGAAGGTGATGACGTAAGGAGGCTCAACAATGTCGCCAAAATCTATTCTCGCCATCTCCAGCTTGCACATAACTACTCAATATCGCTAGCGAACTAATGGAACAGGCTGACTTCCCGAAGAATATATCGCGAGGGTTCGCCAGCTTGCCATTAGAGCTGTTCCTCAACGTTCTCGATCAACTTGTGGGTACCCACAACGGCCAGCATCCTGTAGCGTATGCACCGTCAAACATCATCACCAAGACGTTGCGCGCACTCACTCTGGTGTCGCGCAACACTTATCTTATAGCAACACAGTATCTTTACTCGCATTGTCTATATCTGGACAGTTGCACGACCTATGCGCGATTTCGCAGAACACTCGGAATAAACCTGGGGCATCACCCACAAGCTCTCAACTATGGAGAAGCCGGGCGAAACGAAGAACTGTTCGCGGAAGCCCAGGCACTCCGCCATATAACATCAATATTTATCTCGCCAACTGAGGTGCACAGGCTGATCGAAGGGAACTACACGCCTTTGGTGCGACTACCACAAATAATCGACGCCTGCCATCGGATAGGAATTTTACTCAAGAGACTGGCTTTAGATCTCTCTCCGATCTATGCACCACCAAGTGAGGTTGAGCAAATCAGGCCGCATGTCACCGAGAACAGGGTCTTTTCACACATGTTGCACCTTGAAGAGCTCATTGTCAGCTACGATGTGGTGAACTACTTTCGACATCCACCACCTAATCTCAAACGGCTTGCCATCACTACGCAGGAGATGTCGGATCTAGAGATTGCATTCTGTCTCAAGACCCCATCCTTGCAAACGCTTGTGATGATGCGACCCGTCAATCTAGCAGCGAAAACCATCGACACAATATTCAGATCATACGACGGGAAACGCCTGGACGTTGTTCTGGTCGATGTGAACTCGAACCATCGGACACCAAACAAGACTCGGAACTGGACAGATCAAGATACGGTACGTATCTGGGAAGCTGATGTACCTGTCAGCTTTTACGGCGATGATGACGACATCATTTTATGCGATGCCTGGATATGGAATCACGGAGTAGGCGGTACCCTATGGAGTCAAGACAAGCGGCGGATGGCATCATGGGAAGAGGTTGAGAGGCGTTTGGCCGGCCCAGTACACACGATTGTTGAAGTGTAGCTTCGAGGCTGTTGCACACATCAGGACATCACGGCTTCAGCAGCATCAAAGTGGCATCAACATCGGTTTCGCATTCGTTGTGCCAGGCAACTCTCAGATCAATCATACATAGACTTGATCTCATCGCGATGAGAAGTTACAAATGTCTTTCCGGTCCAGGGATCTGGTTTCCCCAGGTTACACCCTCTTGTACCAGCAAGCTCCCCGGAAACTTGTCTTTCAGTGTACCCCGCCCGACTATATCGTCTGCTTCTCTTTCTAACTCTTCTACATCCCATGTAGTATGCACATAACTGCCCTTGAGCTTATCCGCTCTTCCGCCGCCTAGCCAAACCGAGAACATGCCGACTAGCTCTGGACTATCAAACGCAAAGGGCCTGAACATATCGCTCGTCCTCTCCGTCCTCACAACCCCAGGATCTAGCGAGAAAGCCTTCATATCTGGATATTCGACGTTGAGGAACTCGATGAGCCGGCGGTCGGTTTGTTTCGCGATGCCGTAGGAAGAGAGACCAGGTGTCACGACCGTACCCGCACCGGATGTGATGGAGATGAATGTTCCGGTTGGTGCAGGACCAAACGTGCGGATGTATTGGTGGGCGGGAAGATGTGTGCTGCGGAAGTTCGTTGTCATATCGGCCCACCACTCGTCGTTGTCGTCGGTCTCATCTATTCTGCTGAGATGTGCGGTACCGACGTTTGCGATGACTACATCGAGTTGGCCAAACTCATCTCTTATCGCATCAAAGAGTCTGGCGACTTCGGCCGATTTTGTGGTGTCGCAAGCCATGGCCAGGACCCGTGTTGTGGGGTTGAGTCGCTTCAGCCTGACGATGACGGGCTCGAGATCGTCTTCATTGCGACTGCTGATGGCGATACCGGCGGCTCCCGCCTTTGCCCACGAGGAAGCGATTGCCCGGCCGATCTCCTCCGAAGCTTCGGTAACGAGGACGTATTTGCCGGCGCCTGTCTGTTGTACTTCTTCAAGAGCGGGATATGGTTGGCGATAGTATGTGCTAGTGAATTGGCACATCTTCGTGAGCATATCTGGGTCAATGTGCTGGGCGATCATGGCGACGACGAGAAACTGTGTGGTATCTCCCTGCGGATGTGGTGGATGACTTCCTGATATCATCATTACATCCCCCAGAGACGGCTCCTCGCGGAATTAGCGTGCTATCAGCATCCGCCCGACGCGATACCACTTCAGAAGGCTTCTACACTCCCTGTGGTGTTGAGGCAACAACAACCGGTCACCAGCACCTCGGCAACATCCTTCGCGTGCTCGACCCACGGACGAGTATACCCAAAAGATAATGTCGATGATGGTTATATGCAATCTAAAGTTCTTTCACATTCCTAACATCTCTTTCACAGCAACGTCCTGCATGTGCTGCTTTGATAAAGGTGTAAGGCTATACGACCAAGCCAGTCACAAACTTCCCACAACCTACTCCAGGATGAATAGGCAGGTCTAGGACTACCCAGCAGATGACGTGCCGGAACCAGACACCAGTCTTTAGGCATCTTGGAAGCAGATGTCTAAGTATAGAGCGCTTCTAGGGAGAAAGTGTACAAGAGCATCTCGCTACTATCCGCGGCGGCCTATAAATAGGCCGCTAACATGCAGGCTGGAGGGCCCACAACACGGCTAAGACACCGATAACAGGGTGGTTGGAGGCTGATCTATCCAAAATGTTGTCCACACTGTCGCCTTACTATGCCATGAACCAATGCGAAGCCATCAGACGTGTTGGTGATCTCGCGTGTAAGCGTTTGGGGGCCAAAAGTGCGGCGAGATTTTACCGGCGGAATTCTGCCGGTCACTTCTCAACATGGAATGCAGCGCGAACCTCGGAACAGCACGTGTAAACTTCTGTGTATAATGGCGATGATTGATCGATTAACAAGCATTAATTTGGCATCTAATGCGGTGTTTGTGGATATCGCCGAGGTAACCACGCATCCTATTTCATTCGCCACTCACTTCATCCCGTAGTACTGCGATGACGCAGAGCGAAACGAGCCACTCACAACTTCCGCAACATCGACAATCTAGACAAGAAGGTACTCTCATAAATAACAGAAGTCGTGAGTATGACATACCATCGCGCATTTACTTGCAGTAACGACCACGTCTTCTCCACCAAACCTACGCAACAACCATCTCCTGCGCCCCAACATCCATCTTCGCGCCCTCCCCTTTCCTCGTCTCCTCCTGCCCCCTCTTCCACTCCTCCGCCCTCCCATAACTCTCCCTATACCCCCCCAAAATCGCCTCTTCAACCGTAATCTCCGCCCACCTCCCCTCCTCCCCCTCCCCCCTACAATTCGGCAAACACCCAACCACATACTCCGGATTCCCGCTAAAAAACACCGGAATACTATACCTCTCCCTCCCACTCACATTGATAACACGATGCAGATTACTCACATACCGGTCGTTACTCCACCGCATCATCAGATTGCCTAGGTTGATGACGAAAGCACCAGGGGTGGGGGTTACATCGAGCCATTCTTTCGTGGCGTGGTCGTAGACTTGCAGCCCGGAGACGGTGTCTTGGAGGAGTATGGTTATGCAGCCGAAATCTGTGTGGGCGCCTATGCCGCGGGTGAGGTGGCTGGGGCTGGACGGGGGTTGGGGCGGGTAGTGCAGGAGGCGCATTGTTGCTACTGCGCCTGTGGCGAAGGCGTCGAAGTAGGTTTCTTCCAAATCGAGTGTGAGAGCGAGGACTTTGAGGATGTCTTTTGCGAGGGAGACGACGCGGGCGTAGTATTCCAAGGACGTGGCTTTGAAATCGCGGACATTTGGTAAGGACGTAGAGGACGGCCATATGTTGGGTCCGGAGTTGAGCTTCTTGGCGAGGAAGTAGGGGTGCGTTTTTGGGATTTCGTCGCCGATGTAGAAGCCTTCTTTTAGTTCGGGCGTGGTGCCGGCTTCGAGGATTTGAGACTTGAGGAGCTCGTAGCCTCGGTTCCAGGTGTTGGTTGTGTCTAGATGGGGGTGTGGATGAGCTGATGTGCCAAAAGGCCATTGCTTAATGGTGGTACTGAACGTACCTTTGTTCACCTTGTTCTTCTCCTCCAGTGGTAGGTCGAAGAACTTTTTATTCCAGTCCATCATCCTGTTCTGCAGCTCGATCGGCACGTTGTGACCCGTGATCTGGAAGAAGCCATTGTGCAGGCAACAGTTTCGCACTTCGTCTACAAGCTGCTTCTTGGATGCTGGGTCGTTTTGGTAGAACTCTAGGCCTCGTAAGCAAGGATTCGACTGCTAAGGCTGTCTGGCGGGTCAACGTACTTGAGAAGTCTAGGATGGGAGGCGCTTGACCGACGTTTGGCATGGTGGGCTTTCTCGGTCAAGTTCAGTGCGGTATCAAGGTAAAGAGTGTGATTGAAGTGATCAAGTGTCCAGGTGGTTAAAATGTGACGGTACCTGATCACGTTGGGTCTGGTTCCTAGAAAACGAAAACAGCAGCGAGCTATCGAGACGTCTCGCCTTCCATCATACCACGACTGATCGTTACTCTCGCTTCCGCCATTGTCATGTCCCTAGTATCGATTACCCCTCATGAACGCTGCGCTATCGATAACGGCCTTACGTTGGCGAAGATGGGGCAAGTGGGATTGTGAAGCTCTTCACCCCACTCTTGATGTGAGCTTGTGATTGGCCATGCGACACATCATCTACGGGTCACATCATGCATAACAAGGTGCATCCTACGAATACCAGGATATAGCATTGACTACATGCTTTCGTAACCCATGTCTTCTTCAACCACCACCATGCTGTATTGCAGCCCTTAGTCATGCGAGTCGATAGCCCCGTCATCCTCGTCCCGCACATCGTCGAGCTCAAGGTCTTGTTGAGCCAATGTGTATATGCCTTCATCTCGGTTCCCAACGTCCATACTTGCCTCGACGCCATCGCTCTCGTCATCTGCATATGCTGCGGCAAGCCTCTGATCGTAATGCAGCTTCTGCCATTCATCTACAATAGACCTGGCTTCCTCTTTATCTCCATCATGACGAATGCCGTCTCGGAGCAGAGCAAACATTCTCCTCGCGATCATATACTCCGGTTCGTACGCGTATCTCTTCCACTCGTCACTCGCCTCTTCTTCCCACAAGGTCTTCAATCGCCGGTGATCAGCATTCGTTGGCTCATCGGCAGATATCATTTCATCGTATTCGTGGCCGCCCCATACCCATAGCCAGAACGGAGCACGATAAGCGACGAACTTGGGGCAAAAGTGCGCGAACTGGGCATCCCAATCCAGCAGTCCGGTGAGCAAAAGCGATGAGTCATCTTCAATCTCTACGAGCATGTTTCGCGGATAGAGGTCGAGATGGCAGAAGTAGAATCGGTCGCTATCCGGAATAAGACCCATGTCGTGAAGGGATCTGGTGATGATATCGAAGCAATCCCATATAACCTCATCGCCGTCCTCCTGATCTTGCTCCAGTCTCTGCCATCGGCGACTCCGATGTAGCAAGAATTGACGGGTAGCAATAGCCTCAGCAGGCCGGTCCACGTGTCCCGCAAATGCTGATACCGGGCCCTTGGTAGTTCTGAAGGCACAAATTTCCGGGATGACTTCGCCGCGAGAAAGTAGTAGAACTCTTAGTCGGGCAATGATACCTGCCTTGGGTCCCTGAATGTTATGCAATCTCTTCATGACACGAACAACAATGTGCATCGTGCTTATCTTCTGTTTGATCGAAAATCCGAGCCATATCCTATTGAGATTTTGGCCGGGAAGACGGTTCTGAATGATATAGGTCCGCGACAAAGGATTACGCGTGTGTTCATCCAGATGTATGACCCGAGGAACGTACTTGCGGAATTTCATGCGCGCGAACTTTAGGGTAGCCACATCATACCTCATATCCAAGTCGTCGCTTGAAGGCTCCCTTCGTGCGCTCCTCAATATGTAGTGCTTTGGCTCGTAAGCCTTGATGTGAGCTTCATTAATGGGTAAGAGCGAACGTATCCATGGAAAAGTGAAAGCGCGAGGAGGTAAAGGCGTGACAGTGATCGCGGTGATGCGATTGTAAGTCCCACCGCGCAGGCGCTCGACTTGGAAGCTTGATCTTGGGAATTGAGCGGCGCAAAGCTCCATAACTCTTGTGCTGAAGAATTCGAACGACTCTTGATCGTGTTCCACAGTAGATGTCGGAGATACGCTGGAGGACTCTTCATCTTCACAGTCGTCGTTGCGCTCTTCGTGCTGAGCCGTATCGATGAGGTATCGGCGTATGTCTGACGCTTTGAACCTGTGATTTGGCATGGAAGCTGTAGGGGTTTGCGCCTTATGGAACGGTGCGGGCATGTGTGCGAGCAACTATGAGTAGCGAATCACCTTTTTCAACCTACAAAGGTGACGTTCGTGCGATATTGCGACTTTTCCAAGGTGATATTTGCAGGTGTTTGCAGGGTACGCGCAGGCGCTCGTACCAGAAGCTCCATAGGAAGCGGGCCGAAGAGCCCAGACGCTCGATATGAGAGAGAAAATGGAAGAGCTGCATCATGTAGAAAAACATGCAACTGGCAAAATCCAGAGATCCGGAAGCCTGATGCAAGAGAGAAGATTCTTGAATTGGCCGCCGCTGCCAGATATTACCGGAATACCCTGACATGTAAGGGTGCCGGATGTCGGCTTTGAGAGGACATCGTGGATATGTCTGTACATAGTCAAGTACATTGAGAATGATTAGCAGGAAGATGGTAGAAAGGCACAGCAATGCGACGCGATGAGTAGACTAAGGGATGCTGGGTGCTGAGATGCGAGAGATGACGGAATGTCTTCCGTCATCGACTCTTTCTTGATTGGCCGACGGAAGCTCCACCTTCCGTCGACCGCCCCACCTTCGCATTAGTGTTGCTTGGTCATGCTCGACATAAGCAGCGCATTCTCCGCCAAGCCTCAGGTTAACACGCGCCGGATTGTTAAACCTTTACCAACCAAGCAAGCTCACGATGGCACCCACACCAGACCGCCCCGAAGCCTCCCTCGAACATTCTCGTCACCCTAGTCGCGTTTTGCATAAAGCGCCCCCGCCCGACCCATGAAGACGCTTTCCTCCCTCTTCATCGCCCTCATCGCAATTGCACTTGCAGTATACAACAACGAGTACATGCTCTCGAGACTTACACAATCACTGAGACACGTCACATCCCTCGCAAAGACCACCAAGCCCTTCTACAACGCCACCGAAGATATGTCGACCATGTTCCGCGGACTGCCCGTCATCCCCGACGAGAAGTTCACCACCGATGCGCCCCGCAAGATCGCAAAGTCGTTCCTTGCTGTCGAGCAATCTGAAGGCGCAGGAGCGAAAGTGAGGAGGAGTGTTGGCACCCCCAAACTGCGCAACTTCTCTCCCTTCCTCATGCTCGACCACTTTGCCATTCCACCAGGCGCAGGCTTCCCTGACCACCCACACCGAGGTACGTGATAGCGCAGATCAAGTACTCATGATTATTAGACTAACTCTTAGTTCAGGCCAAGAAACCATCACATACCTCCTCTCTGGCGCCGTTGACCACGAAGACTTCGCCGGAAACAAGGGCACCATCGAGCAAGGCGACCTGCAATTCATGACTGCCGGTCGCGGCATCGTTCACGCCGAGATGCCGCGCCAGAACGAGGACGGCGCGCCCAACGTCGGAATGCAACTCTGGGTCGACCTGCCCAAGGAGCTGAAGTCATGCGAACCCCGCTACCGCGACCTGCGAGCGAAGGAGATCCCCGAGACGACCGCGGATAACGGCAAGGTGCACGTCAAAGTCATCAGCGGACAAGCGTACGGCACCGAGAGTCTGAAGGAACTGGCATACACACCCGTGTGGCTGCTCGACTTCACAGTCCAGCCCGGCGGCAAAGTCAAGCAGCCCCTACCAAAGGGCTGGAACGCCTTCGCATACCTCCTCGACGGCACTACTATCTTCTCTTCTGACGGCGTATCGCGACCTATCGAACAATACCACAACGTTGTTTTCGAGAGCAACGGCGACAGCATTGAAGCTTCCGTGGAGGAGGGTGCTGAGAAGCCATCACGGTTCATTCTTGTCGCTGGTCTGCCGCTTGACCAGCCCATCGTACAGTACGGGCCTTTTGTGGTCACGTCAAGAGACGAGGTCATGCAGGCTATGATGGACTACCAGAGCCATTCGAATGGGTTTGAGAGGGCGAATAACTGGGAGAGTGAGATTGGAAAGAGTATGGTACATTAAGTTGCTTAATGCTGGTAACGATTTCTCTTTCAACCCCTTCTTCTATATATATCAAATCACGATACCTTCATTTCTATTCTCACAGCGTTTTCCACTACCATATTTGCCGTCTCATTCCCTTTTTCTACGAACATCCATTCTACTATCAGTTGCCCAGGCACAACATCACGCTCAGCAAACGTTGTCTCATGATACGTCTCGTGCGTTCTACGATTGTCTTGCTAGTTGTCTCACAGACCTACAAATATCCCACCAAATGCACGATTCATCTGTTGCCTCTACAAGATCTAACAGAGCTCAACCACCATCAATCTTTACCCAGGGCCGTCAGATTACGATTCAATGGCAAATTCATCCACCACTCAAGCTTCAACAAGCTCAACGCTATGTTCGATGTGTCCGCAGCCCGGCACGATAGTTTGCCCTGAGTGCGACTGTAGCCGATACTGTTCGGAAGCTTGTCAAGAGGATGACGGGCCAACTCACAAGCTTCTGTGCGAATCGTATAAGGACTTCCACCAGAGCTTGGCTCCCTCTCCAGAACACTTTCGCGCAATATTCTTCTCAGAGGATGGACCGGGGCCTGTCTTTGTATGGCTACGCATCGAAGACTGCAATCAGCCTGATCAGGCGATGATCATCCACTGCAACAGCGTGCCATTTCCACCACGGTCCCAGGTCCACGGATCGCCACAGTCAACAGGCGATAACGACGAAAACCGGGTTCTCCAGCGTCCCCACGAACCAATCAGCCAAGTCGGATTTCTCGCTGCCGACACAAACGGTGAGATAAGATTCGCAGGGAGACCGACTGGTAGCGTTGGAAGCATTGATCCAGAGTTAGTGGGTGGCTACAATGGACCATTGCTATTCTGCGGTCTGCGATACCACCTCGACATGATATCCTTCCGGCACATAGTCGACGATCTGCGCTCGTGTTGGTACGATGCCAGGATCGATGCCGAGAGGCGGATACAAGGCCCCATCAAGGGCGTTCGTGCAAATTGCCTCGGTGACACTGTCATCAGTAAGCGACCAAAATACGAACCGATCAATACACTCCACAGCACCTTCTTCGACACTGATCGTATCTTCAAGATCCCTGTAGGTGAGAAGATCGGTATCCCGTTAGAGGTACACCTAATCGAGCCTGCTGTACCATGGAGGAATCGTCGTCTTTATGGCGACACGATTATCCCCTACTCTCTCAATTTCGACGCGCGGATACTCAACCCGGCGCAGTGGCGGATGATTACAGGCTCGATTATGATCATTCGCAAAGACCTTAAGCCGCTTCATTGCGCCCATATAGACGCACTACGCGAGTACTGTCTCTGCGAAAGCTTCAGTTCCGCACAACTATCCAATCTGCCCGGAGGACCTCCCAACCCTGATGAAGACTTGACTCCATTTATCGACATCGTTCAACAAGCAAGTTCTCAGCAGTTGCTGTCTCGTGCGTCGAAGCAGGGCTTTTCAGACTTCTACCTCAACTTCATGCAAAACGGTGGACACGCGCAGTATGGATATATTACGTCTCCTTACATAGTCTAGGGGTCTGGGTTAGATAGCTAGATTGTGTAGGTATTGACTATGTTAGTCATGACGGGATTTGAATGAGACATTTGTGACTTTACAATCTACGAATCTGCAAGCCTCCTTTTCCACACGTGCGCATTGATCTAACTTTCTCTAACTGGACTCAAAGACTGACACATCCACTCGAGCTATCTTCTACAAAGATACCACCGTAGATTTGTCCTTCACCGCGGAGTGGAATATGCTCCTGATACCCATCATACACGACCGTCTCAGTCTCCGTCGGCTTCTTCGCAATCCCAATCTGCAACTGCCCACCACCAGCATTGCTATTAGGCGTAGCCCTTGTAACCGCCTTCAACAGCTTATCACCCGCAGAGTAATAAACCTTAATCGTACTAACCATCTCGTCAGCGCCCTCATCCCCACCCAAACCTCATCGCACGAAAAAGAAACAAGGCCACTTACTCCTTGTCATAATCCAACTGCACCCCAAAATTCTGCCACTCCCCCCTCACTATCCCCGTCTGAAACACAAACTCATTCTTCGCATTCTGCACCTTCCACATCTCCCTCTCTTTCTTTGTATCTACACCCGTCCCGCCATCACCCACCAACACAACACCACCCACAAACATGAATTGGTTACCGCTGTAATCACCCTTCTCATGCCACACGTTCATATACTCATGGCTCAGATTAAGCGGCCTGTGTTCATCCTGTCGGATACTCCAATGGAACGTCACGACACCGTTATCCGAGGCATCAGCCCCAGCATCATTCTGGTCCTCTTTGAGAAGGAGACCGGCGCGGCGGAACCCCGTTTGCAGGTTTTCGCCTGCGCGGAACAAAGAGCCGTCGTCGATTGTTACCTCGAGTGGTTTGTGCTGGAGCGGGTTGTCGAAGCGGGATGCAGGTGTGTGCTTGGGAAAGAGGAGAATGGATGACCAGGTGCGGTTTTCGCCTTTTACGTAGTCCGGGTTGTAGGGTGTGGAGCCGGCGGGTGTGTCGAAGGATTGGAGGGTTAGGTTCTTGGTGATGCGGCCGTCGAAGATTATGGGGCATTTGATGTTAGTTTTTGGGGCGTGAGTGTGGGGATGGAGAGGAGGAAGAGGTGGTGCGGGTGCGGGTGCATGTGAAGGTGGAGGCGGAGGTGCAGGTGGATGCAATGGGGTTGCGAGGGCGAGGCCCAGGAAGGGGAGGAGGTGGAGAAGCTGCATTTTGGACTGAGATTCCCAAGACACTGCCAATCCTCACGATGCACATAAGTATATTTTATATGTATCATGGCAGATACGCGCTAGTGAGCCCTATGCATATTGGCTAATTAAGTAGAGCGGCAGAACACTATGGGCAAAGTTCTAGTGCAGCCACATTTACCGGAACACCATTCGCACCAGGCCGACGGACCTGGACGCCGGATTCTTTCGCATCCTGCAACGACAAACATTTTACTTCTCAAATACACTGGTTCTGCTTCTAAACGCGATTTGGAAGCTTCATGACGCGATGAATGCATTCGCGCACTAGACCGCATACGGTGAAAAGACATCTCCATACTTCTGTCGCCCTTCTTCTTCCATCCACTTGATCCAAAACCGCTCGAAATCCGCTCTAGAAGCTTTTTCAAGTAACACGTCATTGTGCATCTCGAAAGCCTCGTCGAACTTTGAGGCCAGGTTCCACGGCTCCTTGCTGTCTAGAATCTTTTGAACTGGCCCACTGCCGATGGAGTATAGATATGCCATCAGAGCCGCAATGTGAGCGACAAACAAAGGCTTCTTGTCTTTCCTCGCGACGCACACACTACCCAAGCTAGCCGCCCACTCAGAAGGGTTGAGTTGAGCGAAGCCGAAGTTCCAAGCATGATGCAAGCCTTTGTAACCACCGCTCCGGTTTCTCCATGGCAGCGCTGGGGGTATAGTGTGAGCGAAAAGATCGATTCCTAGTTTGGACGCGATCCACATGAGGAGATTCTCGTCCTTTTCGTAGAAGCCGTCGGTGACTTTGCAAGCCTCGAGTGTCGGACGTTCACTGATCAGCTGATCACCGATGCAGTTGATGCGGACACCAGGGATGTAGCCTTTTCTTTTGTCTCCAAGTTGGCGGAGTGATTTGTCGTACTCCATGTACATCATGTCGATGATATGCCGGAAACTGGTCATGTTGAGATGTGCGCGATGGCCGATGAAGAGTATGTTGCCTTTGCAGCATTCTAGCAGCTCGGGTGCGATGTTTCCCATGCTCTTGTTTCGGACGCCAGTCAAGCATAGTTGATCCGGTAAAGCTGGGCAGGCTTCAAGGCAGCCAAGCATGTGGATAGTATTGTGCGAGCGTTTTAATACACAGTTGTAGGATGAGTTCCCGCAGCTGACAAGTCCCTTGCTCTGATCATCTGGCATCAGATAGTACTGGAGAGCAAAGCCCTCATTGCCGGACTGAGATGTCATCCTCACCCATACCCATTCGGGCGCGGCCTTACTGGCGTTGAAGAAGATGGCCTTGAACAGTTCAGGTTCAGGAGGGAACTGTGTCTTGTAATTTCGATAAGCCCTGCAGAGTAGTTGATGAACGGATTTGTCGTCCTGCAGACACTGTGTCGAGCAGTAATAGCTGCACTTGCATGTCGTACACATGCATGTAGCTTTACGGTGGCACATGCAGCAGAGGCGAGCAGGTGGTCTCGGGACTTCATTCATGACGACGTTGTTAGTCAGGTATCGATATGGTGTAAGATTAAGATAAGAAAGAAGGATGAAAGGCTAGGAATGCTAGAACAAACGTATGCATCTGATCTGAGAACGGAAGGGAAATAGCGCGAAAGTGCGCCTAGCACCCACCAAGTGCTTTGACAATGGAAGCTTTCCCATGGAAGCAGCTCGATTTTAGCGAGACATTACAATCAATCTGCAGAGGTGAAAGTATTGAAGCCGTGCCAGGTAGTGCAGAAAGCCCTGTGCATATGATCATAGCCGGTAGAGATTAGTCATCTTTCTCTTCACTTTTCCGGGTTGGGGTTGTTGCTCATTGACACCCCAGAATTTGAGGAAGGTGATCGGTTTCCAGGTCCACTGCGCTTCGTCGTTCAGAGCATTGTCCAGGATCCACGTAATGACGGCGGTGAATGCGACAACCCCGATAGCGCTGACCCAATAGACCCAGAATTCACTTCGGTTCTGAGACCGAGCATGAAAAGTTAGTAATCGTTCACTGACAGTATGTTCAAAGTGATCTTACCGGTGCGTAATTGTCTTGCATACTGAACAAGCTGCTCGTATATGCCAAGGGGATGAACAGCAGGGCGAGAAGGTTGAGTCGTTTCACGCGCTTGGCCTCCTCCAAGTTTTGACGATTACCCGCGATCGATGCCAGTCCAGTCATGGCTTGGATCAGATTATCGGCCCGTTCCTTAAGGATCTTGAGACGGAAGTAGACGTATTGAAAGTCCTTCTCGCAGTCTTTCCACGTGTGCGCATGCAACCTGACGGACTTGTTGATCTGCCCGTCTAGCGAATAGTCGAGACTGAGTAATGCGTCTTCAAGATCGTCGCGATAGTTGCCGCACCGACGTGAAATAGTCTGCAAGCTCTTCCATTGACCCTGCTCTTCAACCCATGCGGTAGTAAGACGAAGCTCCAATGAAGGCAGCATTGCTTTGATGTAATCGACAAGCTGGAGGTAGTGCGCAGCGACTATCTTCTTGAGGAAGATTGCTGATGTATTGGGCGTAGCCCACTCGTCTTCGGAGAACAGATCAGAGTGTTGCTGGTAGTAGTGGAGGAGGTCGCGCAGCATTGACGTATGGGGATGTTGCGTCTTGCTATGTATTTGATGATGAGGGACGGGCGGGATGAAGTCAACATAGCCTTCCTGAAACGGCGTGTTTTGAAGTTCGTCGCGTACATTGGCGATTGGACGAAGTGTGTTGTCGTCGGGATCGACTTCTTTGGGCGGAGGACTTAGATGAAGCAGCTGGGGATCACACAATATGACCACTACGTAAATCAGCTAATGTCTATCAGACCTTCCCTTACTACCTTGGTCTCCGGGACTGGAATCGGGCTTCTAAGGCGGCAATATGCTTCCAGAGAATGGTCCCAGGATCGAGAGTGAAATTGACGTACCATCCCAGCCGCCGTTCTCGGTTTGGCGAGACCACCACCCGACTTTGCGACGTAGTATTCCGATCGTACTGTTCTCCTTCTGACGGGATGCTGTCATGCCTACATGCCGTCGCGTTCGCTCGCAGAAGAAATAGCGGTTCTCGAGCGCCTTGTTGAACTGTCGCAACTCGCAATACTGGAGCTGGAAAGCTTGCCGTGGGTCAAGCAAGCTAGGTTGGGGCAACGCATCGCTCACTGGTGTAAAGTCGTTACTCCAGACACATGTCCTCTCTTGCCGCTGGAAGAATGAAGGATCCATGAAAAAGTGACCGCCGACGGCTGCGACAAAATCAGGTGCCAGACCCTCCATGATATAAATGCGCCGACGGTTGTGGTTGTGCCCCGCGGATTCAAAGTGCTTAACAAGCTCTTTCTCGCCTCTGAATTCAGTCGTTGTGAAACCAGATGCCCCAGTAGGAGGAGCGTCTAAAAGCGCGACGAGCGCGTTGCCATATTTCAGTGGCTCATCCCTGTTGTTTGGATCGGCCTTCTTCAGGCCAGGATTGGACCCGCTCAAGGCCTCGATATAGTCGCGATATTTGCCTGCTCGAAATTAACGACACCTGCAAATGGCACTTGGACAAAACATCATCTACCATTAGCACAGAGCCACGATCCAATCGGTGGCTCTTCGCTTTTCAGCATGTTTGGGCTTGGGGTGACCGTCCTCGAAGTTGCAGCAACGGATGTTTTGGTAGCTTTTGGAGCCCCCGCGATAGTCGCCATCTCGACTGCGTTGACGCCGTTATTGGCCATTGATGCAAATGTGCGTAGTGTGCCCAATGTCAGAGCCCGGGCAAAATATTAGCTCTTGAGAAGCTGGCGAGCGACGCGTTGATGCTAAGGGGCCAG